GAACCCAAGGATGGACCCAACGGAACCCGAGGATGGACCCAAAGTGGGGGACAGACCCAAATGAGACCAAGGATGGACCCAAGTGAGACCAAAGACGGACCCAACGGAACCCGAGGATGGACCCAAAGTGGGGGATGGACCCAAGTGAGACCGAGGATGGACCCAACGGAACACAAGGATGGACCCAACATGGGGGACGGACCCAAGTGAGACCAAGGACGGACCCAACGGAACCCAAGGACGGACCCAAAGTGGGGGATGGACCCAAGTGAGACCGAGGATGGACCCAACGGAACACAAGGATGGACCCAACATGGGGGACGGACCCAAGTGAGACCAAGGACGGACCCAACGGAACCCAAGGACGGACCCAAAGTGGGGGATGGACCCAAGTGAGACCGAGGACGGACCCAACGGAACCCGAGGATGGACCCAACATGGGGGACGGACCCAAGTGAGACCAAGGACGGACCCAACGGAACCCAAGGACGGACCCAAAGTGGGGGATGGACCCAAGTGAGACCGAGGACGGACCCAACGGAACCCGAGGATGGACCCAACATGGGGGACGGACCCAAGTGAGACCAAGGACGGACCCAATGGAACCCAAGGATGGACCCAACGTGGAGGACGGACCCAACTGAGACCAAGGATGGACCCAATGGAACCCAAGGATGGACCCAATGGAACCCAAGGACGGACCCAACGTGGGGGACGGACCCAACTGAGACCAAGGATGGACCCAACAGAACCCAAGGATGGACCCAACGTGGAGGACGGCACCAACTGAGACCAAGGATGGACCCAATGGAACCCGAGGATGGGCCCAGCAGAACCCAAGGATGCACCCAACTGAGACCGAGGATGGACCCAACGGAACGCAAGGACGGACCCAACGTGGGGGATGGAGTAGGTCAAGGTTACCTGGCGGGACCACGGTCTGACGGCCGCTCTGTTGGGCGTCCCGGGCCAGAGACATCTCCTGGTCGACCTTCTCCTCGCTGTGGACCTTTTTATGGGCGTTACAACGGAAATTTTGGGTGAAACCCTTCCCGCAGATGGGACATTTGAAGGGCTTCTCACCCGTATGGACCGTCTTGTGCCTGACCAGGTCGGAACTCTTCCGAAAACTCTTCCCGCAATCCCGACACTCGTAGGGTCTCTCACCCGTATGGACCCTCCGATGCATGAGGAGATACTGCTGCCGGGCGAAACTCTTCCCGCAATCGGGACAGACGTAGGGTTTCTCATCGGTGTGGACCACTTGGTGGGAGATGAGGTGAGAACTTTGACTGAAGCTCTTCCCGCAATCCAAACACTTGTAGGGTTTCTCGCCGCGATGGAGCATCTCGTGGATGAGCAACGGGGACCCGTCGTTGAAGCCCTTCCCGCAGACGGAGCATTTGTAGGGTCTCTCGCCCGTGTGTAGACGTCGGTGGCGGACGAGGTGGTTGCTCCAGTTGAAGATCCGGCCGCACTCTTGGCATTTGTGGGGTTTCCTCTTGGGTTTCGCTTTGGGCGGCGATTCGCTACGGAATTCGCCCGCATTTCCGCGGTTGGCGTTTTCGCCGCGTTTCTCCCCAATTCCGTGTCCTCCCGGCTTCCGGTTCTCGCAACCTTCGTCCCGCCTCGGTTCCTCATCCTCGCCGCCCGCGTCCTCCTCCACCTTCGCCTGGACCTTGGCGGGGTTCTCCATCTCCTCCCTCATCCGTTC